GAGCCCGATGCGGGACTCGATCCCAGGACCCTGGGATCATGACCTGAGCCGAAGGCAGACGCTTAACGACTGAGCCACCCAGGCGCCCATCTATGTTTAATTATAACCGTTCTGCGGCTTACCCACTAGGGTACGGTATTATTATCTTAAACACATTGAGATTACTAGGCCAGTTATTTGTGGTCTTCACCCGATCACCATCCCAGCAGTGGGGGGTTGCTTACTGGCCAAAAGAGACTTGAGACCTGGGTCTGCACACCTCGGGGTGATTCTATTCCACCATGACTGGGTACATGGAGCTCTATTTTCAGTCGAGATGACAACAGGAGGCTTGGAGTTCACTTCCTTTAAAATGGGTTGGTGGCTTCTAGGTTCTAATTATACCCTCAAATGATTCTTCTGTGTTACTTGTATAGACAGAAGCCAGCACCTCTACGGAGGGTGTAGCAAACATTCCTCATGGCTAGGCTGGATTTTGTCATTTCTTTCGTTCTTTAGGACATGTATTACCATCCTCTTTGGCGTTGAAGATGCTCCGATGCCTGTCCATCAGTCCTTTAGATCTTTCGTAATTCTTTTCTGTGATCTGTGTGGATGGAATTTTGTACTGCCTGCTAAGGTTATCACTGACTTTCTTCAGCCACTTCTTTCTGTATAATTGAATTCTGAATTTTCATGATCTTCCTGACTAGACACCGTTCTCAGATGCCTGATTGGATTCTGTATACCTGCCAAACCCTCATCTGCTTCTGAGACACATCATGAGGTCATGTGGATGAGGGATTGGATTGTGGTGGTGGTGGAAGAGCCAATGTAGGTGGATTTGAGAGAGATTTTGGCAGAGTGAAGGGATTTGTTGATAGATTGGATGGAGGGGGGTGTAATGAGGGTGAGGGGTTTTAAGGACGACTTCCTGTTTTCAGCTTGAGTAGCTTGGAGAGTGGAGATTCTATTTCCTGAGGAGAGAAACTTGAGGAAGGAGTATATCCCATCGCAATTACAGTTCCACATTCCCAGGACACTCAGTATCCATCTCAGCTCCCCACAGGGACAAGCATCCCAAATAACAAAGAAGAATGGCAGCAAGAATGAAGTGCCATTGTGCTCTACTTTCCAGAACCTCTCTGTGAAGGTCATTAGTGGTTATCCTCCCACTGGGAAGAAGTGCTCTTCAAGATGGAGTTGTTCCAAAAATTCTCTCCTGGAGGCCTTCCCCTCTTTAGGCTTGTTTCTGAGCCTAAGTGACTCCATCCATCCATCCATCCATCCATCCATCCATCCATCCATCCATCTATCCATCCATCTATCCATCCATCCATCCATCCATCCATCCATCCATCCATCCATCCATCCAATAGTGCCTACTCTGTACCAGGTCCTCTCTAGGCACTGAGGGTAGAGCAGTGAATAAATATTAAAAAATCTCTGCCCTCATGAAGTTTACATTCTAATTACAAGGAGACAGATAAACATAAATAAGTAAATATATAGTATAACACAAGCTGGCAAGTACTTTGGAGGTAATGGCAACAAGTGGGGAAGGAGGTTAAGGAATTGTGTGTGTGTGTGTGTGTGTGTGTGTGTGTGTGTGTAGAAATGCTACATATTACAGGATGTTCAAGGAAGGCTTTCCTGATAAGCATGACCTAAAGGAAGCTGACCAGAGATGGAGGAGGAAGATTCCAGCAAAGGAACAGGCACAAAACCCTGGGGCTGGATCCTGCCTGGTGTGTTTGGGGAACCACATGGAAGGCATTGAAGTGGAGTGGAGGAAGCTAGGGAGAAAGTAGGAGAAGAGGTCAGGTAGTGTGGGGCTGGTGGGCAAATCATGCAGGATTTTGTAGGTATTGTAAGGTCTTTGGAAGGCAGTTATGCTCACTTGACTTTGACTCTGAGATAGGAAATCACTGGGGGGGGCAGTTTGAGCAGGAGAATGGAACGATCTGACTTATGTTTGAAAGGATCATTGGCTGTTCTGTTGAGATTACAAGCGTGGAGACTCCTACGAGGTTACTTTGGTCATCCTGGGGAGAGACGGTGGGTGGTGGAGTGACAACAGAGGCGGCAGTGAGTGCTCAGGTTTTGGGTGTAAGATAGGTGATGGGGGGAAAGAAGGAGTGGAATCATGGATGGCTACAGGATTTTGTTCAGAACAGTTGGAGGATGTTGCTACTGTTTACTGAGACGGAAAGACAAAGGAGGAGCAGATTTGGGGACATTCAGGAGTTCAGTTTGGACCAGCTAATTTTGAGAAGCTCTTAGACACCTAAGTGGAGGCGCCTGGGCTGGAGAAGTATAAATTTGGAACTTGTCAGCATATACAGGAATATGGAAGCTATGAGTCTGGCTGAGGTCACCTAGCGAGAGGGATGGATCAGGAAGGGTTAGGAGGACTGTGCCCGAAATGGACTTTATAGTAAAACAGGAGTAATGAGCTGGACACCACAGGGAAGTGAAGATGGTTAAAAGATGTTGTGTACGTACAGCACTTTGCACAATTCTTGACACATAGTGGGTGCCTCCCTAAGCTCCTTCCCTCCCTCCTATAGGCAGACAGGTTCACTTTGCTGGGGGCCAGATGGCTGTGCTTACCTGTAGGACTATGAGTAACTTGGAGAGTGGAGATTCTACTTACCCCTGCACTCCTTCCCATCCTTCCCAGAGACCCCCGGCCCTCCCACCTCCTCAGTGATTCTTGTCGCTTTGGCTTTGGGATTTGGGCTCCCTCAAGACTTCAACCATATTTTAGTGTGAATGGAGTGCGGAGAACTGGTTTCCAGATGGGATTTGAGTGAGAGTAAGCCCAGGTGCATTATGGCTCTAAGGGCTGGAATTTGGAAGAGTGAGGAGCAGGAAAGTGAGGAAATGGGCCTCAATGGGGGAATGTGAGGACACCTAAGATAGACTGTTAGTTTCCTAACCTTGTCCTGGACAGTAGATGGCCCCCCTCACCCCACCACTAAACTCACGGATGTGCAGAGATCTCTGACCTATGGTGTCAAACAGGATCCTTCTTCCACAGGAGTTAGGACTGAGGCAGAAAGCTGTAGTGTGTCTTCTCCAAGACCTGAGTCTGGGGGCATGGGTTGAACAACGCCAGCGTCCCTGAGGCCCTTCTCTGGTCTGTGTCCGGTGAAGCATGGCCAGGCTGGCGTCAGCTTCAGCATTCCCCAGAGCAGAGCTGAGTACCTCCCACCTACCTCCCTTTTCCTCCTGGTACCCCACGGAGAACTGCCTTGTACCTGGCTCTGTCTTTAATTGGGGTGGTGGTGGGGGCAAGGTCAGATGTCCCAAGTCACTTCCACACCAGGCTTCAGGGATGAGGGCCAAGGGAGCAACTGAAGAGACTGCAGGCAGGATCTCAGAGTTTGGGGTGCTTGGCTTTGGGCACAGAGAACGAGTTGTTACTTACACTAGGTCTTGAGAGGTGGTCAGAGAAGTAAATGTTTAAATGGCAGAGGTGCAGGGAAGAGCTTCCAGGGAAGGGGGGGCTGCAGCCCCCAGTATGGATGATGGGAATGATGAGATGTGTTAGGTGTGCACCTCAGCTGGCTACTTTCCATGCAAACGAACAGTTTGTCTGGATTTTCACGCTGTTTCCCTGATATAAGGCCCCGAAAGAGGGGTTGCTTGTGTTCGGTACTCCTGATTCTAACTCTGCCCCCATCATCCCACTATGTAAATTAGTTCATACGGAAGAGTCTAGAACAGCACCTGATACATAGTTAATACCGTAGAAGTGCCTATAAAAGAAAAGACATAACCAGCTGTCTGTGAGAGAACCAGTTCAAACCACCCAGTTTCCTTTCTGGGGCATGGCTTTATTTCAACAACTGGCTGCCTGCAAAGGGGAGACAGATGCTGTCTGGGGGCCACAGTGTCCTCAGGTCCCAGAGGGCAGTGTCAAAGCGAAGCTTCAGGAAAGAGCAGGATTCATCAGAGAATGGGAGCACAGAAAAGCAAGAAAGAGTTTCAGTTTGGGCCAGGACAACTCCCAGGGACCTTCTGGGGCTGAGAGAGTTGGGAAGGGAAGGGGGCTCCGTGGCGTCTCCTCAAAGTCCCTCGGCCATACGGGCCCCAGTGCTCCCAGATCACTTAGACACGTGGTCTAGGTGTCTGATGTACTTCTGCACCCAGGCAACACTGGGGTTGGCGCAGATCTGTCGGCCCTGTTGGGTAAGGAAGCTGTGGAACAAGGAGGAGAAAGAGGGGAAATTGAGTCAGCAGGCAGAGAGGAGCCCAGCTCCTTCTCTACCCAGCTTGAGCTTCCCCACCTCTCTCTCTGCTGGACGTGGCCCCTTCACACAGAGAAGGACACTCTACTCTCTGTTGCTCCCCAAGGAGTCCGTGAAGACCCTACCACCAGCTCCCATTACCTCCCTGGAGGCCAAGCTCAGGCTGGGAAGTCCCCAGGGTGCTGCTCAGCTGGTTCTTCCTGTGCTCCCCCCACTTCCTAGCTAGTCCCACCCCTCTGCTTCCTTCTCCCAGGCCCTCCTGGTTCTCATATTTACACCCCCTTCCGCCCCCAGCATGGCCAAACTTACATGACCCCTGGGGTGGGGCACTGGTCACTGGTCCTATCATAACCTTTCACAAACCGGAGTGGGACCTTCCGTGAGATGTAGGCAAAACAGCACGAACTGAGGGTTAATTCATTAACTGGTTCTGCAAGGTAGAGGGCCATGTGATGATGAAAGCTTTTCCACAAGGAAGCGTAGACCTGTATCTCTATCGCCCAGAGCATCAGAGGAGGAGACCAGACCAGAGCATCTCGGAGGCAGTAAGGCCTGGCCTCTTGCAGCTCGTCCTCCTCTCCTTCTTAAATTATCCTTGTCTAGGGCGCCTGGGTGGCTCAGTTGGTTGGGCGACTGCCTTCGGCTCAGGTCATGATCCTGGAGTCCCGGGATTGAGTCCCATATCGGGCTCCCTGCTCAGCAGGGAGTCTGCTTCTCCCTCTGACCCTCCTCCCTCTCATGCTCTCCGTCTCTCATTCTCTCT